GTGGGGCCTGCCTGCGAGTCTGGAGCTGGAAAGGAGGAAAACACAGGATTCACTGTCCCCCTGATAAAGGACCACCTGTATGGCAGGGATGGAGCAGCCCAGCTGATAGGCCTGGTAGCAGCAGCCATTCCACAAGCGATACAGGAGAGGATCTGAGTGAGTACACCTGCACCCCCTGGGTGGATAGGGGAAGGAACACTCTGGTGGGAAACCAGATTATCCCTATGCTAGTGACTGTACACCTTACATAAAGAAACAGGAGCCAGATCCCCTGCTCAGGAAGAGTCTCCGGATTGCTGGGTGAAGAGGCGTTCATCTAGGGTCTGGGGTAGTACAACTGGAGCTGCTGGCTAGCACTCCAACAGAGACTGTGTCAGAGAAAAGAAGCTGTAAATAGTTCAGGAAGTTGTGCTACACTTAAGAGTTTTTTAATAATAATAATTTTTAACAAGACCTAGTGCTTTAGCAAATGAAATATCACTTGGTTAGGGTTTATCTCTACTTTTAGCCTATTTGTTTACATATTTTAACATTATCTATCCTAGTTATATATGGTAAGTCTAAAAATAATATTGCTCTGTTTCATTGGTATGCTGTTATGCTTGACTATTGACTAGTGGTGACATTAATATTACACTGTTCTTTCTAGTCATATGTACTAATCCCTTACTCCCCTACCTAGTATATTAACCCCTACCAGTGTGGGGTAATGACTTTCCCATGTAGTGCCCAGCTGTAAGACACGGCAAGTTTTCTCATCTTCAGCGTTGAATATTGACAGTACATCCTAAGGGGATATTTATATGCAGGAAGACACTCTTGTGATTTGAATAGATCTGTCAGATTAATATAAAGCTTCCCTCTGGTGGGTCTCCATACCACAGAGGTTAATCCTGCGTATTCTGTAAAGTCTATGAAATCGGTACTGTCTCAATGTCAGTTCTTCAGCGTGGAATAAAACAAATGTTATACGTGGATCAAAATGCTTTAGGAATACATTTTCGTTCATATTTTTTCAGTGTGTTTTTTTACTTTCGGATATTTTTTTTAAATAAGATATATCTCAAATAAATCTATATTAATATCTGTTCAGATACATGTTTTTTTATTGAGTAAGACACAGCTGTAGAATTTTGAGTTGTGCAAGCAATATCTTGATAAAAAAACAAAGTTAATAATCCTAACAGCAATATGAGGGTTGGTCTTTGGTTTCAGCACCATTTTAATTAAGTTACAAGATTAGATCACATCAATAAACTCTGAAAAGTAGTGATTTTAAAAGAAACTTATTTGGATGGGACTATTCACCTGAAACGTTTGGCCTGGGAAGCCAACAAAACCAACTGGCCCTTCATGGTAGGGGTGGTTTCCTATGGGCTAAAAAGTGCACCACAAAGTGTCAACAAGTGACTGGTGGTAATCTTGATGAGTTGTACTAAAAGAGATCTTCACTCACAACATTAAAATCTAAAGGTTTTTTTTTTACTTTAATGCATGTTCTGCATTAATGTAAAAAAGCCTTCCACTGTGATTTCCACCCTCACTAACACTTCCCTGACTCCTGTATTGATCCAGTGCTGTACCCGGCTGTAGGTCTTCTCTCCCTCTCTTTTTGGTCTCACAGGCTTTGCTGAGAACAGCGGGAGCCATTGTCAGTCAAATCCAGTGAGCAGAGAGCAGTGGGGCCGCTCGGAAACAAGCCCACATGTCTGCCCCCATAGAAAGTATCTTGCTATGGGGGCAGGTACAGAAGAGGAGGAGCCAAGTTTACCAGCAGGAGATCTCAGAAGAGGAGGTAAGGATAAACCTGTTAATTATTTTAATAAAATATACAAAAAAGTAGACTTTACATTCACTTTACACTTTGCTTATATGCTTCCCCTCACTGCTAAATGGTCACATGTAAATTTTTATAATTGGAGCAAGTACTTTTTTCTCATGGTGCTCACTTCCCCTTACTTTTGTGAAGATGACACAACCCTCAGCTGGCTACAGTCTCCCTGCAGTAGGCAATCTTGTTCATGCTCAGCAGGGAGCCAGCTGTGAGTTTTCAGAAGTGACAGCAGACCCCCTAAATACAAAAGAATGGCATGGAAGAACAGACTTGGATGTATGGAAGACAATACTGAAATTTATGGGTGGGTAAAGCCGGCAGTACATTGATCGTAATTCATGCAGGTCCGCAGGGACCAGCTGATTTCTGATTTATGTATGGGCTAGCTGGCTGTACACAAGTCGATCGTTCAATCAACTTGTGTACAACCAGTCCGTAGGATTTTTCCTGAATGATCAGCTATAGCTGGCAACACTGATCATTGTATTCTGCCAGCAGGGAAGGCTCCCTGCTGGCAGAATACAATAGCTCAGTGAGAAGGTTTCCTCCATCTATATCGAATGTGGGGATGGGGGAATCGGATAATTTTTTTCTTTCAACCCACTGGTTGAATGAAAAAAAAAAATGGCCTGCCCAAGTACAGTATGTGTTTTTACAAGTCAGATGCAACAGTACAGTACATGCACTGGGACATGCTAGCAAAGGTTTGGGAGGAATCCTCAGGAAGGTGAGAAAGAGGATTAGGGGGGAAGAAAGGCAAGACATTAAAGAAATGGTTTACAAGAAGTCAACAATATACCTGGTAAGTTGCAAAAATCCAGTGTTGAATATGTGCGTATAGTAGCCATGTCCTGCTATGAACTAGGTAATTTGTCCCAGAAATTGAACTCCCCTTCAAAGAGTGTAGGAGACACTCCCAGGGCAATTACTCCTGGATAGAGTCCTTCGAGTGACAGTATGAGTGCCCTCAGCACTGTTCAAACAGCTGAACTGGACTCTAAACATGGGAGGTAGGTGGGGGAAGGGGGGAGCCCCCCAGTGCTCAACCCCCTTGTTGATGGGAGGGGGACTAGAAAGAGGATAATAAAGTTCCCCCATCCACCCACCACCTGTATAGCTAAACATGTGATTAGTGTAAATATTCAGGCCCTGAGCCCCGATTTACCGTCCCAGGCTGCCTGGACAAAGAATATAGTTTATATTATACTGTACAGTATATATATTATATACAGTATATATTTATAAAACATAAACGTGCTGAAGGGGTGTGCCCACTCTGTACACTACTAAAGAACCTTACATATTTCTAGCAAACTTCTACATTACAAAAAGGATTCACCATTAATATATTTAGAAAAAATGTTGAAGTCGGCCAACTATATCAAAGTGATCCCTCTCGTACCAGTCCCTACTCCGCTGAGAAAAATGCCAAATGCTTAATACTGTAACCAGATCGATCTGAGTCTGTGGCTGTCCTCCAACTGTGTTAGTTTACCCCATATTAGTATTATATGTCCATTAAACTATGCCATGAGCAAGAAAGTAAATGGCGTTTTGCACATTGGGGTGGGGACTGGCCAGAAAAGGATAATTTCAACGCAGCTGGCCAGCTTGAACGTGCTGCAATATATGCAAAACAAGAATCCCTGTTTTTATGCAAACGTTTACTAGAAATATACTGTACATACGGGAAGCACTTACATACAGTGCATAAACCCTAATGACACAGTAAACAGCAAAGCCAGAGGATGTTACTGCTCTCATTTGATTTCACTTTAATGATTTTTGATGCATTTCCTATTTGTTTTTTACTGCTTTATTAGCACATCTCATTTTTAGCCTAAAAAATATTTGTTATTAAGCCAGCACAGACCTATCTTTTTCACTGAACCCATTATCAGTGGCCGTGTTGTACATCAACATTTGACTGTGCAGAACGAAAACATTTGTTTTGTTTCGGATCATTGTGTTACATTACTAATTTAGTTTTGTTGCATTCATAACGAAATTAGTCTAGTTTCGTTTATTTTCATTTATTCTTTTTCAACCGGATTCAAATTTTTCCAATGGATTCTAAGTATACAAATAAATTCAAAACAAAGATATTGAATCAATCCAAATTCATTCTGAAGAATAGCTGGTTCTATTCTATTGGACATTCGAAATTCAAATTTTGGAAGACGGTTATATTGTTCTATTTTATTCTATTCTTTTCTATTCTATTCTGTTCTTTTCTATTTTATTTTTTTATTTCCTATTCTTTTCTATTCTATTCCTTTTCTATTATACTTTATACAGGTTCTTTTACTTAATATTCTATAATGTTATGTTTTTGCTCTATTCTTTTCTATTCTCTTCTATTCTATTCTTTTACATTCTAATCTATTCTTTTCTATTCTAATTTATTCTGTTCTATTCTTTTCTATTATATTTTATTCTATTCTTTTAAATTCTATCCTATTCTATTCTAATATGACCACTGCATATAAAAAGGTTAATATCACTTAAAACATTTTGGCATAATAAAAAAAATTGCTTCAATTGTGTAAAAACATGTTAGTTGAAGTGCGGCTTTAATGGGTTTGTCTTTTATTTTGGTCTGTTTAACTACTTGCCCTCCAGAGGATTTACCCCCTTCCTGACCAGGCCATTTTTTACGGTACGGCACTGCGTTATTTTAACTGACAATTGCGCGGTCATGCAATGCTGCACCCGAATTAAATTTATGTCCTTATTTTCCCACAAATAGAGCTTTCATTTGGTGCTATTTGATCATCACTGCGTTTTTTATTTTTTGCACTATAAAAAAACCCAACAATTTTGAGAAAAAAAAACAAAACAATATTGTTGACGTTTTGCTATTAAATATGTCCAGTAAAAAAATTAAAAAAATCAAATTTTGTAATAAATTGTAACACATAAAATGTATTCTGCTACATGTCCCAATATGTGTAAATTAATTGGTTTACGTGAAAGTTATAGCGTCTACAAATGGCGATATATATACTGGAATTTTGTTTACTTTTTATACTAGTAATGTAGACGATCAGCGACTTATAGCTCGACTGTGGCTGGAATTCTGACACTGGAGGGGAAACTGACTAACTGTCACTGACATCCCCAGTGACACCAATACAGTGATCAATGCTAATAACAAAGCACTGACACTGTACTAATGACACTGGGCAGGAAGGGGTTAACATCTGGGGGTGAACAAAGGGTTAACTGTGTGCTGTTTTACTGTGTGCTGTATGTGTGCTTTACACTGTAAGCACACTGCTTTGTATAGCTCTGCTATGCAGAGCCATACAAAACATTTTGCAGGAGCTGACAGGGTAGAGATCTGTTTAGTTTACATACAGGTGCCTCCCCCGTCCATGATACACGTTGATCGCCGGGTGCCAGTGGGGAATCACTGGCCGAGACCCGGTCATTGACAGGTGAGGGTGCCAACAATGATGCAGGTAGGGCGCGCACGCAGCTCGCTCACCCCCCCTACCCAGAAATGCAAGATCACGTGATTTTGCGCAGCCCTGCCGTCCTGTAGCAGTATTTCTGCTATAGGGTGGCGGGAAAGCAGTTAAAGAAGAACTCTGGGATAGGCAAAAAAAAAAATTACTCACCCTACACAAAACAGTAAACCCCCAGCGGGGGTTATAGGGTCATGTGACCACCATGACTAACGGTCATGGCAGTCACATGATCGGGAAAGGTCCCGATCAAAAGAAGAGATCGGAACCTTTCCGTGAGTACTGGACATGTGTGCTGGGAGCGCGCAGGGTGCGCGCTCTCAGTACACATGTTTTTCTTAATTGCACACAAATGTGCGGCCGCTTGGCGTCAAGGCCCAGACGCCGGAAGAGGTTAATGGTTTTATTTGAAAATCATCAACTTATTTCAGAGCAGCTACTGAGTGAACCAGAAGATGGATGACATATTCAGTGAAGGTAGGAGATCAGCAGCAAGGACATGGAAAAAAGTTTTTGTCTAGAGTTCTGCTTTAAAACTCTAAGGGCTCATTACACTAACAGCAAGGACTCCTGCTCCTCTGAAACATCATCCCCACTCACATCACTTTTCAGAGGAATTTGGCAGGTGGCAGGAAGGCGATATGTCACCTCCTCACCACCTGATTTAACCCCCTAAATACCGCACTACCATATGCATTGCACATGGTTGTGGGGTGGCCCTTATCACTTGAATGGGTCAGGGTTAACGGCCAGTTGTGCCCGCTGAATGCGACATGGGGTACAATTGCTGCTGTGAAGCAATGCATTACAGCCACAACATGTGTACACCCTAAGCCACTACCTTTTGCAGCTAAAGGGAGAGCAGTTGGGAGGCAACAAAAATGGGGCTCAAGTGCATGGTTTTACCAATTCTCAACCGTAAGTGTAAACAAGACCTAAAATACACTATATTGGCAAAAGTATTGGGATGCCTGCCTTTACACGCACATGAATTTAATGTCATCCCAGTCTTAGTCTGTAGGGTTCAATATTGAGTTGGCCCACCCTTTGCAACTATAACAGCTTCAACTCTTCTGGGAAGGCTGTCCACAAGGTTTAAAGAGTGTGTCTATGGGAATGTTTGACCATTCTTTCAGAAGCCCATTTGTGTGGTTAGACACTGATGTCGGATGAGAAGGCCTGGCTTGCAGTATCCGCTGTCAAGGTCCTACCTTTTCCCAGAGGTTATGTTACTCCATGTGCTGGCATCCATCTTGGATTTCTGCTGAGCATGGTGGGAAGCTTTTATGCCTTCAGGTCTCTGAGGTCCATCCCCCAGAGGGGTGTGGCTGAGTACATATAAGCCTGTGATCCGCACATGCTCTTTGCACTTGTGTCTTGTGTCTTTGTCTTGCTACAGCTCTGTGTATATGCTCGTGACTCTTCTGGTATTCTGACTCGGCTTGTGACTAAGACCATTCTCTGTGTTTTCCTTCGATCTGACCTTCTGTTGCTGAACCCGGCCCGTGACCTGTGATTCTCTGTCTACTGTTCTGTACTGTTTTGTCCTGTTGTTGTCGACTCGGCTTGCCTGACTACGCTATTGTTATTCTCACCAGCTACACGCCATTGGCGGCGGCCGTTACCACAGCCGGGGTGTCTCGGGGGCCGCGACCTGGTTTCTGGCTGTGTCAAGTCCATCCCCACCATCAGGGGCCCTGGTGAAGGGCAGCCTGGGACTTAGACTCCGCGCCCTGAGGGACTTCGGTCTGTTGGTGGGTGGTTGTCGTCAGCCAGTGCCTTACCCTGCCACTAGGCCTACCTGTCCGTTCCACAGCCCTGCCCTGACATCCGCTCTGTGCAAGCCAGTCAAATTCCTCCACCCCAAACTTGCTCATCCATGTCTTTATGGACCTTGTTTTGTGCACTAGTGCTCAGTCATATGAGAACAGGAAGGGGCCATCCCCAAACTGTTCCCACAAAGTTGTCCAAAATGTCTTGGTATGCTGACACCTTAAGAGTTCCTTTCACTGGAACTAAGGGGCCAAGCCCACCAAACCCAGACACATCCACCGAATTTCCAGACAGAGAAGCGTGATTTATCACTCCAGAGAATATGTCTCCACTTCTCTAGAGTTCAGTGGTGGTGCATCTAACGCTTTGCATTGTACTTGGTGATGTAAGGCTTGGATGCAGCTGCTCGGCCATGGAAACTCATTCCATGAAGCTCTCTACACACTGTTCTTGTGCAAATCTGAAGGCCACTCGAAGTTTTGAGGTCTTCTATTATTGACTCTTCAAACAGTTAGCGACTACTGGGCACTTCAGCATGCGCTGACCCCCACTTTGTCATTCCATGTGGCCTACCACTTCATGGCTGTGTTGCTGTTGTTCCCAGTTGCTTCCTCTTTTTCATAATACCACTAACAGTTGATCGTGGAATATTTAGTAGCAAGGAAATTTCATGAATGGACAGATTAAATTCACTGAGCTTCTGAGAGTGACCCATTCTTTCACAAATGTTTGTAGAAGCAATCTGCAATATGCCTAGGTGCTTGATTTTATACACCTGTGGCTATGGAGGGTGATTGGAACACCTGAATTCAATTATTTGGATGGGTGTCCCAATACTTTTGGCAATATAGTGTATCTAAGACTACCCTGTATGTATTACAGAAAGTGGACACAGAACAGATCTTCAGGCAGGATAAACAGGTAATACAACTGTTATGTTATGGACTCTGAAAAGCAAAACTGCTGTCCTAATAGTATTGTTAGGCTGTTTCATAAACAACATGTCCTGTTTTATTTTACCCCATTGATAAGATCAATTTCTGGCTGTAGCGCGCCCAACATGTACTTGATTATCTCTACCTCTGGATCCAGGAGAAAATAAAGCTGTAGACACTGAAGTGTAAAAAGCTGTATCTGAAAGTTTAATGAAAGAAGACAACTGTTATACAGAACTCAATAGGCATTGTTTAATTCAGGATAACCAATGAAACATTCCACTCTTATCAGGATAGTTACATGAAGAAACAGAAACTACAAATGGCTGAGGGTTTACCATATAAGGTGAATCCGTTGACAGAGAAATAGAAACCAATTCCTGAGAAATGAAACTTGAGCTGTTATATTTTCGAATTGAAGCATTATACAAAATGGATGCCAGTTTTTAAAGATATATCTCCTTTCACCTTTAGTTCCATTTTAAGTAACAATTAGGTAGTATTAATTGGAATCTGCATTAAATTTTGTTTTAGTTTTTTAAAGGTGTTCCATTCTATCCATCCATAAATTCCTGAAAAGTCTGGTCACATTGGGTGCCTGCTATTACATATTACACTTAATGGTGCAGTAATTAAGTGACAAGTTTGCCTTAGTGCAGTTTCAATTACTGTAATTTTCATCAATTGGCCCTGATCAATATTAAGAGTTTGCTGTTATAAATGCAGTGATTGTGGGTCTTTAGCTGCTAATGGAAGATAGGGAAGGAACAAAATAGATGTAGGCCCCCAAGTACCATACAGTTTCTAACATACTTATTAAACTGGAACAATGTAGTTTTTGCTTCATCTAGTCAAAAACACCTAAGACTCCTTACAAGCAATATACTCCATATGATTAGACCGTGACAGTGGTGACACATGAAATAGGAATACAGGTAATGCAATTGATACTTGTTTGACAGAAACTTAAATAAGTCATGGTGGTCATTATCATGCAAAAAACTGCTAGCTGTTTAAGCCTCCAGCTTTGTACTGTTACTTTTAAGGCCTAATCTATCACAAGAGCATAACAAAAAAAAAAAAAAAAAATGCATGTTAAAGCAGTAAGTGATTTAATGTGTGTTACTAATTAACATACAATTAACATAAAATTAATGTAAAATAGCTCTAATTGCAACATACCAATGCCAGCCTCATATTGGCCTAGTGGCAAGGCTTTTTAAAGTACTGATTTATTAGCAATAATCAGGCAATATTAACCAATAATTACAGCTAGGATGCAGCTTAAAGGACAGGCTCACCTTTGGAAACATGTTTTTTAGGGTGGAACATGTAACATGTTCCCAATGCTGCAGCTGCTGCCATATTTCCCCCACCCCCCCCTTCCTGTGACAGCAGTACAGGGAGAAGTTCCTTGTACAAGCTGTCATTTTTTTAAAAACAGTGCGGCTCTGCCCACATGGCAGAGTTCTGTAAATGAATGAACTACAAATACCGACATTCTTTGAGGATGTCAGCTTGTAGTTCTCAATGGACTACCATGGCACTGTGGATCGCCGTGGTAGTTCATTGATTCTTCCTGTCAATGTATCTGCTTGTACAGTCAAGCAGATATATTGACATGTCTGCAGGAGACCTGCATGGTAGTAGTGATCTGCTGATCGCTGGTGCAATACTTTACAGGCTCCTGCAACAAAAATAATAAATGCATATTTTCTTACCTGCAAAAAAAAATGTGCTTTTATTATTTTTTGTCAAAAGATGAACTTGTCATTTAAGTCTCCCAAGTTAGTCAAATATATCTACCAATATAATGGAATATTCTGATTTACAATAACTTACTGTATCTTCATAAGAGTCCATGCACACTGGGCTTAAAAATGCTGCTTCTGTCCATGCACATTAGGATGTCTAGTGGCAAAAAAAAAAAAAAACTATCTAGACTGCACTTTTGAGAGGAGTTTTATGTAAGAAATAAAATGCTAAAAGCTCCTAAACGCACCTACAGTAAATGCATGCACAAAAACGTTCTATATAAGCATTTTTTTCTTTCAAGGGAACTGGCGTTTTTTAGGCCTAGTGTGCATGGACTCCAAAACAGACATATCCTTTCATTGTAGACATCACAATAGTTGGATGAAAAGGATTCGTTAAGTTTACCTGGTCAAAACCTCTACAATGAAGGGATCTATCAATTTTCAT